GTAGTAGTAGTAGTAGCAGAAGAAGGAGCGGCAGTAGCAGTAGAAGCAGTGGTAGTAGTGATCGGTACACGTACCGTTTGCACCTTTGTACATGCTATGTACATGAAGCCAGTTGAGTCGTATCAGGACAATCAAGAGTGGACTTGCGCGCATTGTTTGGCTCAAGTAAAACGGGCGACTTGCTTGCTTGTTTTGCTTGTACTTCATTGTGGTCGTGTAGGGTGAGTCTGGGGCCCTTTGCGAGCCATAGTGCCCTGCGGCGCACCTGTGCCTTCCATATTCCTGCGTTGAGCGTTGCGCGAAATCGGTTCGCCGTAGATCTAGCAAAGACCTGCCCTTTTCTTTTGGTGTCTTGAGCCAAGTGTTGTGATCAAGTGAAACGTTTGCACTGCTCTTCATCTACAGTACATAGTCGTCTAGATACATCATGAAAGTGCACGGGGTCCGAGTATTCTCAACTAAAATAGCGGGCAGTGGCAATCTCTTTTCGTTTTTGGGCGGCCGGCTATGCTGCAGGCAAAGTGCGCGACAGCTAAGGGTCGTGACTCCTGGAAAGTCTTAACATCGACATGCGCGATACGTTTACCAAAAACTGTGCCTGGTGCGGCGATACACCAAACGAAAAGCCGCTTTTGCGGCGATACACCAAACGAAAAGCCGCTTTCGCGTCGCAGCCACGCCTTTTATGCTTAACTGAGGAAGGAGGAGCTGAGGATGGGGGAGCAGAAATGCTGTTTAAAATTCGCCAACCCTAGGTTGAGAGATTCTGTTGGCGGAGACTGGGCTTGCCCCCAAATTCCTCCCCGACCCCCCCCCGCCCCCGGGTACCACTCCGCCCCCCCGTCTAAGCACCACCACCTTCCTCGCTTCCTGCTGTGTTTGCCATCCCTTTCCTTGCCTTGTGCTTACGCCTTTTGCTTACGGCTTCAAGTACAGCCGGGCGGAGGCAAACCACACGAAGCGTTTAAAAAATGTTAAGCCAAGCGGAAAAACCCTCAGCTACACTATGCTGCCGGAAACAAGTGTAGCAACAACAAAAATAGTAGCAGTCACTGTAGTAGGAGTAGTAAGCCAAGTGGATAGCAATACTGATACTTTGGTACTAGGAACAGCATATAACAGCATGGTAGGACGACTCACCAGCTAGCGGGATGTGACACGTGCTCCTCGGAAACCTCTCTCTCCATTGCTTACTCCCACTCGCCCAGCATTGCCCAATAAGGCAGCAAGCACCCTAGCCAATACCAATCACTAGCTAATACATATGACATAAGCATGTGAACAAAAAACTATTATAAACGTGTATATATATATATAATTAATTAAATATATGTCTAAACTGTGTGTATATATATATATATATGTAAGGTAATGTTAAGTTAGTACGTACCCATCACTTTTTCTACTGCTGCTAACATCAGGGCAGCAAGAATAACATGATAGTCACCCTCAGTCATAGTCATTGTGACGACACCGTGTGGGCGAGGCCCATGAACAAGTACCTCAACGAAGCTTTCCGGCTGAGTAAAGAAATGATTTCGTGTCGTTTAGCATCGGGACACCGCGAACAAGGATCACACATGAACGCCACATGGATTATCACTGAAAGCTGTTCTGACTTCTGCAGCAATTCTGATACAAGCATTGTTCCGTAGTCTGGGAGGGTTGACAACTACGCAATTCCAGTTGAGCTGAGCGTCAAAGACTTCAGAAACAGCGTATCCATTGCTCTTGCGACACCGAGCTTTGGAAATGGCGATCGGAAAACAACGAAGCTGAAACCTGAAAGCATCACACGCTGACCCCCAAGCTGAAACATCCTCTGGACATGCACACGTCCTCTCACATCAGCCCAAACCCTGCCACCTCGAATTTGCCCTCTTGTGGGGCAACCGCAGCGGAACTGTAGGTGCTCCAAAGCACGCCGATGCTGGGCGGGCCAGTATGGGCCAGTGTGAACTTGCCCGAGTCTGGACTGTACTCCAGCTAAGCTTCTTCGCCTGGCCGGTATATGTAAACAATGTCCTGGCGTATCTGCTCGGCAACTTGCTCCTGTGACTTTTTGTTGTTGTGCAGATCTTCGCTGACATCATCCAGTTCCTCTGCCTCTTCGTCCAAGTCCTTCCAGCACTTCGCGTTCCACTGTGTGCACTGCTGAGGCCCTGCAGCGTTGCTTGGCCATTTCAGCGTGGCGAAAGAAAACGTGTCCCTGATATTGGAGCAAGCCATCACACTGCCCAAACTCTCTTGCAGTACGGCGCCACAATTTGGCTTCTTCGAATACGAATTGTACATACCTTGATCGATTTGGCGCCAGTTTTTGCTTATTGCACATCCATGTTCTTGGATCTCTTTAAGATCGGGTGAGCAAGTTTCATCCTTCACGCAAGTACTAGGTCCATCCACCTGCGCCAACGACTGGGCACCCAGAATTTTCTTCGGCATCCAGTAACCGAGAAGTATGCCCTCAATCACTGACAGGGGCTGCCAGCTCAAGAAGCTGTCATATACCTGGCCGTGCTCTTTGGCCCAGCCGAGCTTCCCAAGCTCTGACTTAGCTCCCTCCCCTGTCCAAAACAACTTCTCGTCTTGACCAACCGTCATGGGAAGCCCCATCTCGTTTGCTGCAAGTGGGAGGTCGACATGTGCTTCGGACAGCTGCTTGCGGGCTGCAGCCCCCAGGACGCTGTTGCACATCAGCTCTCTCTGGCTACCAACAAGGATATTCTTCTCAGCACAGCACTGCTCTTGCCAGGTAACTCGGTCGCCCTGCGCCAGGAAAGGCCAGCGCAGGCCTCAGAGGGCCAGCACGAAACACGACAGGCAGAGCGTAAGCCAACCCCACCACCCAAAGCCCTGAAACTCGCAGTCTTCTCCAAAGCTACCCGGATGGTTTGGCGCGCCAACTTCCTAGCCTTCGGGCGACATACGCACCTAGGCCCCCCTGATCGAATACCGTCCAATGAGAAGTCACAAAAACAGGTTGCAACCATCTACTTTCTGTTCGGAAGACACCCGATAGCTGTTACTGTTGCTGCACTCCGAGCTGCACGCACGTCCATTCCATCCGCACGCTCTGCCACAGCAACCCATCACGTGTGCTTCCGCTTTTTTGACTGCCAACTCAGCGCAAAGGATGGTATAAGGAGCTCCATTTTGAAAGTGAATCTTCTCGATTTTCTCAACCTGCTCGGAGACACTCTTCACAATGCCTTCGCACTCATCTTCACAGACATGTTGCAGAGAATCAAAGGCTTGCTGGGAGGCTTTGGAGAGCTCTTGCAAGCGCTGGCCGATTCCTGGGGGCACTGGAGCTGCGCCGCTCTCCACGGCCTTCGCTGTCTGCTGCGGTGACCAGTCTCCTCGCAAAGCTGCCTTGCAGTAGGCCTGCGTTGTGTTAGTTTCTAGCAGCTGCTGGAGCCTCTTCTTCATGTCATCCCTCTTTCGAAAGGCCTCCTCTCTTCTGTCAGGAAACAACAGTTCTTTGAAATCTGCCCACAGGGTGAAGGTTTCAACCCCCATGTCCTTTTGCATGCTTGCGAAAAGGTTCGAGCAAAACTCCACTGCTGGACTCTTGAGATCAACCTCGGGTGGTATCTTGTTATTGTTACTGTTGCTTTCGCACCTGCATGCAGGAAGCCACAGTGTGCAGTCGCCAGCCCAAGCCGCCTGCTCATCACAGAGCTCACTTGGGACAAAGGAACCAAGACTTTCACCATTTAGGCATGCATAGGAAGTAAAACCAGTGCCCATGGTCCAAAATCTCCCCCTTTGTGGGTTGCACTTGCAACGGCCATCTTCCGTCCGGTGCGCATCCCACTTGTCACACTCGCCTCCCTGTTTCTGGTACCAGGCGGCAAGCTTCCGGAGCACGTCCTCTCGATGCCACGCCTCCGACGTGCGATTTAGAAGACTTTTCAGAGTAGCCTTGGCTTCCAAGGTTGGCTGGGCAGCAGCACGATGTGCCAAGCTAAGACGAAGGAAGCACAAGAGGACAACTGTCAACAGGGCCATGGGCAAGGAAAGCAGAAGCAACGAAACAGAAACTAAACGGGAATGCCTTGAGCAGACAACTCGTCGTTTCTTTTATTGTCGCTCTGTCTTGGTTTGTGACTCGCTTCTTTCAGGCATAGGGGGGCGCTGCAGAACCCCCTGGCCACTAGGGCCCCCCATGCGTTATGGGGTGTTGATGGCGTTGTGAAACAAGTACCGGGAGCATGTATGACTTTACGACAAGTTTGACTGCCTGAAACATTGTACATCCCCCGGCCTTTTTATGCTACATCGTACAATTCGGGCCGCTTGATCCATCTTGATTTCGGCCCTAGCATGCTTTTTCCACCTACACTTTCTTTTGGCCCTATCACGAGGTCCAGAAAAAGACCGCCATCTTTTCTTCAACCTCCATGCTCTGTTTTAAACAATCTTTGTCTCGGCCGCGAAATATCTCGCAGCTGAGACCGGGTCTTTTTTCGAACCCGCGGGCATCTTTTTTTTGGCCTCCACGGTCTTGTTTCTGACCTCTGCGGACATAGAGACGCGCACACATGACATGACAACAGTGCAAGAGAGAACACCAAAAGCGTCACGTAAACAAATGTTTGCAGTGCAGAAACCACAAGCACTAGCGCATCCATGGCACCAGGGTTTCGAACGTGTACTTGTCAGGATGGCAATGAAAACGAAAAAAACGGCTCGCAAACACGCCACTCGTGATTTCTTGCAAAATTTTAAAACTGAAATAAAACGCTTTTTCCAACACACAAAAAAGAAGCCACAAGAATTCGCTTTAAGGGTGTCACACACGCGAGGAATTCGCGTTGAAAGCACAATTGCAGGACTTCCAGCTTTCCAAAAATCAGCCTAGGGGGACTTGAGAGGCAAAATACACATGGGAAATCTTTGTCTCTGAGCTGAGTTATGGAGAAATACAAACAAGCAACACATTCTTGCTTGCAAAAACCCAAATGTGAAAAGCAGGGGAATCCACTTAACTCTCGGTCACAAAGCACAGGTGCAAACGATCGTACACCAAGCGAGCTAGGCGAGCTAGGCTTGCAGGGCAGAGATCGTATCAGAGTTTAATCCCGTAATTACAATCACACAGGTAAGAGGAAACGCTGGCACTACCCTAAGCACCGGCGGGCCTTTTCCTGGACGTTGCTAAAAGCACGTCTTGAGTGATCGTAGCTGCAGGTGAGACAAAGTTGGCATGATCCTAACAAGTAACCGGACTGTATGTCTTCACAAGCACATGACAAATCACACCCCCCTCGACGCGATGCTCACGCGTGAGAGAAGCGGAGTATAAAAGTGTCAAAGTGCTCTGATCGTACATCGAGCCATACCTCTCAGTTGAACGCTTCGCAGGGACCGAACACGTCAGGCATGGGTCGACGTCTGGTGCTTGTACATACCTATGTCTCACGCTGTACATTGCAGCATGCGAGACTATGGAACTGTAACGACGCGCTGGTAAATCGTTGCACATCGGACAGAGTCCATTTACTTGATAATCGGATTGTTCATAGAAACGGCGCTGCAAATCGTTGCGATGGGTAGAATGAATTCGCGCTTTATATCGTTGCGCTCAGGTCGTCAGCAAGTCAGCAGCGTCAGCATTGCGTGTCAGTGAAACGAGAGTGACACACAAGGAAAATACCATGGCTAGCCATTGCACCCCTGTGGGTCATCTCAGCTTCGGCGATGGACAACGAGTGCTGAGGAAAGTGACGGAAATGATCTCATGCTTCGTGCTTCACCATCAGATCCGAGGTGAGTACCGACGACAGGTGCGTCCGTTCCTCACACAAGGATCAACCGGATCCGCTCAGCAAGACATCATACGTCGTCACTACAGTGTGGTCGGTCGAAAGGCTCATCTACTGGCACGTGATCATGTGCGCGGGGCCTAACTACCATATTTATCGCGTGCTCCTATCGGCTGGGCTACGAGTACGATCGAGATTTCCTCCACCTCTGCCTCGATCTTTTCCTCCTCGGCCGGGCGGACCTGGATGACCAGTATATCGTTGTCCCCCTTTTCCTTTTCCCTTCTCGAATTTTCCTTTGTGTTTCCCTTTTCCTGCGGACTTAGAAGGACGAATGCTTGTGGTGTCCTCGATGAGTCCGTGCGCACCCACTCTGGGCTCTGATCGGGAGGATTGGACAGGGGCAGCGTTATCACGCGCCCTATACCAACGTGAAACCCTCTCGCTGGAGCGGTGGTGTCGCCCCCTTCGGAAGGTTGCATAACGGAGCCACTAAAGAAGGGTGCCGGCGACCTTCCCCTTGCAGCTGGGTTAGGAGGGTTTGTCAGAGCCCTGCAATCGATCGATACCAGGTACCCGGCTGAACTGATGCCGTCCTAAAACCTGCGGCATTGATGCGTTCGGATGCGGCCGTCGACGAAGGAGCCGGGCTACGCCCCGAGCCTTCGCCGCGCGTTGGTCCGTGGGATGATCGTGCGTCCATTAGAGGCTCTATCCCTGCATTCTCCATGTTTATCGGATCATCAGGATCCGCATTAATCAGGGATAGCAGGCCGCAGGCCTCTAGATCGAGTTCTTATTATCGGGAGCTGATGAGGTAGATGGACTGATCTGTACAGGTCACGTATCGATACCGGACCAAGATTCTCATCGTTCAGCAGCGAATCCATCCGCAATGGAAGATCCAGATTCCTTTCGTCAGCATACTGGGATCGACCACGCACAACCACAACTGGGTCGGGTTCAGCGACACTCTCCATTTTCACGCTTCGCTTTGGAGGACCCGGGGGATCCTCTGCCGGAGGCGGTGGAATCTCATCGCCCCCCAGGCCAATGTCAGCGCGATGGCCAGATCTAGGCTTCGCTTGTTTCTGTTCGGCATTCTGAGTCATCATATCCAGCAACTCATCATCGTCGTCATCATCGATGGAGATAGCTCGCACACTGGCCGGTGACGGGCGCGAAGCAGCCCTTGCCCGGGGCATTTCCGGTGTCACCGGTGCTTGTCGTCCTCTCTCTCTTTCAGCATCCTCTCCCAGGCGGGCGGCCATTGCTATGATTTCCGGATCACTGGCCACGAGAATGTCTCTAGGAGGAGGCCTATCCGCTGTATCAATTTGCGGCAATCGGTCCCCAATCTCATCGACTTCCTTGACAAATCGATCGACTCTCATCCGGTCTTGGAGCATTTCATCTTCAGCTGCTTGTCGAGCATCCTGATGAGCTTTACGGGCAATCATCGGAAGCTGAACACCTGCAGTTCCGGCCGTTTCATCGATGAGCTCAAAACCCTCTTCACCTGGGAATTTGACGGGCGCGAAACCCAGCGGGTCCCAGTTCTTTCCACGGCTTCCTCTGAATGTCGTCCGCCTGAGCGTCAAGTTCAGCGTTGTCAGCCTCAGCGATGTACCCCGGCTCACCTTTACTGGGAATGTCGTAAGAGGTGATCGATGTGATTTTGGCCAGGTGCATCGACAATGTCTCGGAGTCGACACGAAGAAATCGATGGAACTTATCCTCATTTCGGATAGCGTCCCGGAAGAACTGCAATGTCGATACCTCGTGCCCATACTTCATCGGAGCACGCATCTGATTGATGGGGTAATCCATTGCCTTGTGTGCCTCCTTCAGGCAGCTCATCCATTTCTCGTCCACCGGCTCCACATCTTGTCCGGTCGGCACGGAACTGGGATATAACCACTTTCTGGCCAGGCACACGCGGTACGCCTCTCGGCAGTGGCTAGACCATTGGGCATAGTAAGCGAGCGGCTTCTCACGGCAATTGGGATACAATGATCCGTAATGCTTTGTAATCGCATCAGCTCTACGGTCAGTCTCAAAGAAGTATTCCACGGTCATGTCCGAGTGTTTGCCGGTAATGCCCGCCACCAGCCTTTCTATCGATATGTCGAGGCGAATCGCGCCTTGCATTGCACCTCGTACATTCTTTCGAAACACCTCCATCTTGGCATGAGGCATATCATGAAGAGTGCACTTGATCGGAGGCACTCCGAAGAAAGCCGTTTTCCGATGCTCTTCGGCAAGTGATCTCGACGCCGGAAGATTGCGATAAGGTTTGAGGGTTCCCAATGACAGAATCTCGAACTTACCATCGTTGTAGTTCTGGAGCGCATCGAGCATCCACTCAGTCACCTGAGTTGCGCCTTAAACTCCGAACTCGTTTGCCGCATCGAGTCTGTGCATCCCCTCAGGATAGTAGATCGGTTTGCCGCAATAGGCACAGATGTGTAGTCCACACACATATTCGCCACCACATGTGGGACAGAGACCTTTCTGCATCGGCATCTTATCGCGATCGTAATTGTCCCTGGCCCCGGGCCCAGTGCCGAACCCTGGACCGCCAATGTATTTGAATGGGCTGTTGAAGAAGATCGAGCCTGTGTCGGTAAAGAAAGCGAGTGCCATGCACGCGATCGGGATATTGTCTTTGATTGCGTAGTATCCAGCTCCGTGATAGTATATCCGGTTGAGAAATCGTGCGCAAATGTGAAGATCGATAGCGCAAGCAACCATCCGATTGGATGAGGCTCCCTCCTTCATGGCAGTGACGCCCAATGCATCATCGCTGAGAGTCTCACGACGAGGCTTTCGCCTGGATTTCATGAAGGCTTCAGTCCAGGCGTTTCCCTTATCTGATGCAGGCGAGAACGGAAGGAGCGTTGTGAACAGCGACCCTTTCGATGGGATAATTTTGTCATCGGTCATGTGACCCATGAACTCCCTCATCGACACATAGAGCCATCCGTATGATGGATGATTCCGATCGCACGCATTCATGTGCCTATTGTTGGCATCGTAGGAGTCTGCAGCAATCGGAGTGAACGGAGAATCGGCTGACTTCATGAACTTTCGAAAGCTGGAGAAGCTATTCATTCCGAAGCCATAAATCGCACGCACTCCCACGAAATTGGGAATGCCATCACTGCTAATTCCTGCATGGAAGAATTCGAATCGTATGCAATGGTCCCGCCTGGCGATCTCACGGATCGCCTCGACCACCACTCGGTCAGGTTCCTCGTTTTCATCATATATCGTAGTTCTTTCGAGGGTTCTCTGGCCGTTCGCGGCTTTGTCCAAGAAACGAATTTCTCGCTCCATGTAATTAAACGTAGTCTCCGTCGAGATAATGCCGCTAGAGTCGAAGTAAGTGTATATCGGAACTCCGTGCTTCACTTCATTGTCCTCACCAGTGTCGGGGTATACCCGCGACTGGGTGAGGGCTCGGAACAAAATCTTCCCGATGAATTCGACGAAGGCATCATCTTTCACCTTCGTTGGGGGATGCGTTGCGCATCGTCGACAGTAAGCCTACAACACTTGACGTTCTGGCCTCCTATCGATCGGGTTTTCTCAGAACGAGACTTGAACTCCCGCACCGTGTCATTGATCGTTTGACACGCGCCGACAGTCTCTTCTCTGAGCACCGGTGGTGCGTTTCCCCTTCTTCCTTCGGCGCTTTGGTGGAAAGCATTATGGATAATGCTAAGCTGCTTGACGCGAAACATCGACAGCATCTTAGCAGAGAAGGTTCTCTGCTTATCACTGGGCGGGAGAACTGTCTTGCCCATCACTCGGCCGTACGTAGTCTCATCATCTCCAACGTCTTCTGCCATTCCGGGCACTACAAATGAAGGGAGAATAACCGGCACAGGAGCGGCCTCGTACTCGATCGTTGGCGCGAGAGACACAAGCTCCTTAGTTGGGAATAGCAAGTCAGGCCGGTATATCGCTGTAGGCTCGTTGTCGACCGTTACAGTCACGTCCGCCTGATTAATCTCTGGAGCGGAAGCTGAGTCGTCCGCACACAAATCGAGAACACGAGGACTGACTCCGGACAGCGGCGCAGCTCTGCTTGGCATATCCGTCGGCTCAGCTGGCCTACTCCCGCCAGGTGGCAGAACGCTCTGAGCAGTGCTCTGGATCGTAGCTGTTGAGGGAGCGCTAACGAGCGGAACGCCCGTAGCAGCTGCAACCTCATTGCTGTCATCCTCGGCAGGTACCCCACCCATGTCAACATCTTCATCTCCATCGAGCGTATCATCGACTCGACTATCCGGCGCATCACCATCGTTGCCGGTACCTCCCACTACGGGGCCGTCAGTCTGAGGCTCATGATGTTCGCGCCTCTGCATTGCCCTAGCGACAGGGGCTTTCGGCACCGCAGGAGCAGGAGGTCTGGGTTCAGCTCTGTTCAACCTCGTCAGAGTATCCTGATCCAGTAGCTGACCGACGTTCCTTTGAAGATCGCTCAACTGATTTGACAGAGATCGTTCCAATCTCGCAATGTCACTCGGACGTGTTCTTTCAACTGATGGCCCACGTTCGGCCTCACGTTGCAAGTAGTCAGCGTATGGGAGGGATCTTGGAGATCTCATGGTCGGCATCCGACCATCCACTCGAAAGCCTTCACCACTCGAAAGCCTTCAGGTAACGCTTGATCGTCGCGCACCCCTGCTCTCATTGCTCCATTCGACACCAGGGCAAGTCTCATCGATTGAATCACTGCCCGAGGTGTCTGCGCTATCATATCGGGCCACTCTTCATAAGTTGGTGGCGCCAAATCTGCATCTTGGAAAACGATGTGATTGAAGGGCAGAGCACCCATTCCTCGATGCCTGGTAACAGTCTGAAGCGATTGGAAGAAACACGTCAGAGATCGAGCGATTCCATACGCCGCTGGAATATGCGGGTGGATCACCGGGATACCAGACAGCGCTGCAATCGACGCATCAAGGCCTGATATAGTCGCTCCCAGTGAAGATTCGATTTCACCTCGATTTCCGAATTCAGGAGCCCATCGTGCATCCAGTGCAGAAACGGCCTGTCCGTCATATCGATTGAATAGGCACGGAATGAATGCACCGGATTGCATCTCCCGAATCATCGTGCTGTTAGCATCTTCCCGCCTTCGGCTGGTCGTCAGACGTTCAGCTATCGCATCATAGGCCAACTCACCAGGTGGATAGAAATTTGCTGGTCTGACCCCTTCTGACGCCATGATGAAACCCGCAAGCATCGCTGCTTGGGCCTGCAAGTTGACCGCATCGTCATCTTCGGCTGATGCTGCGAGCTCTCGGATTCTTGCATAGATCTCCGTAGCTTGAACCCGCCGAACTTCGTTCGCATCGACATTCGTAGGGTAATGAGCATATTGCCGCCGAGCCTCAACCGTTGTAAGCGTGCAGCAGATAACGTTGGACCGGGAGGCTTCGCAGGCATGCGTTCGGCCGTGTTGGCCTGCTTTAGCAAATCGTTCAGTTCGGCAGCTGTATCTGCCTCCTTCGCCAATGCGGCAGCCTGCTCAGCTGATTCCCGCGTGCGAGACTGTCAAATGGGGGATCATGCTCAGCGGTCGTAGAAGACGGATTCCCTTGCGCAACACCGGATGGTTCGGATCCAAGCGCCTCCTGATCAACATCCATGTCAGCTGGCTCCTCCTTAACTTTCGTCGTTGGAGGGCTTGAATCGGGTAGCTTGGGAGCTACCGGAACCATTGGCGCTGCTTTGGGCGGCGCAGCACCAGCCGGATCATCTTGGCCTTCGTCATCTTCATCTTCAAGACCGAAATCCGCCAGTCCGATCTTCTTGGGTTGGGCTGGTGGCATGCTCTTGGCCGCAGATCGCACCGGCTTCTGGTCTTTAGCAGCTGCCGTATCGGAAGCAGCTGCTCCGGACCCCGCATCGCCAAATATCAACTGCTCAAATGACGATTGCGCTGATCTGTCGACATATCTCGGATCGGGGGTTCTAGACAGCGTCATCTGATTCACCTGACCGGAGCTGAGATTGGCATCAATGTCGGGAAATCGAGTAAGTTGAGCCATGAGGAAAGCTGCTGATATCTTGCAGCATACTGCGGTCATCGAGTCCCTCACGTGAGCGAGGGTACCCCACTTGAATTGTGGTAGCCCTTCGAATAGGACGTCAAATGGAACAGTAAGGAAATTTGCAGATCGTACTCCCTGCCATATCGATCGCAGACCTTCAGAGATAGTGGAATACATCTCTTCAGGTTTCTCAGGAAGTGTCGCAAATCACGGCGACATCGGACCGCAGAGGCTCACTGAAGCGAAATCCCTGTTGAGGGCTTCAAGGTTCTGACGCGTGCTAATCCTGCATTTGTCAAAATCCTCCTTCTTTGCGCATCTCGTTAGATAGCTCCATGATTGGTGCAACTCATGGAATTCCTCACCTTTCCAAACAATCAGGATGTGAGTACGCGCATTCGGGAAGGCAGGGTCTGCCTTCATTCCACTGGCCAAGGAAATCATCTTTCCCAGGTTTGGTGGCTGGTCGTTTTCGTACATGTTTATCGTGCGCACGTTGACCTCTCCAAGACCCATGGCTTTGGCAGCATCAGTCAGGTACGTTTCGAGATCGCCAGACCACCAGAGATTCTTGCTCCCCCCTGAAGCCTTAAACAGGAGTGTATCATCGTGGATGACAACCAGGTGCAACCTTGTTCCATCGTTCGGGCTGCTCAAACGGTGGCGCGCTGGAATGTGCAATGGCACATGCCGTCCGAAAAGGCTTCATAATTCCATGCACCGACGCTGCCGATAGCACATCTGCAGCTTCCCAGTTCCGAGAGTATAGGGGATCAATCACCTGACTCTCTTCGTACGGGACCTTATCGTATGCTGCAGGCATAACTGATGTAGGTCGGAATATAGTCTTGAATGCCTTCTCGTATGCTCGGGTCCAGGTACTCCATCGCTCCTGGAGGCCGGTAGCCATCGATGTCATCGTCACGAGCTTGGGCAAATTCATCGAATGGCCCTCGCCGAACTGAGGAACCTGTTTCTGAAACGTAGGGAGGATCGCCGCCCTAAACGACGACGCGAGAAGCGTTCTGACGAGCGGATACTTATTTGCCATCGTAGAAGACTCCTGCATTAGCCTTGATCCAGGGACTTTCCACGGAAGTCCTTCGGTCACCTCAGGATCGACAGGAGGACCAGCCTCTTCTTTATCGGCTGCGGAACTGGCGCTGGCCTCTTTCGAATCCACATCCATCGAGGTGGACTCATCCGCATCTGGGCCCTTCTCCGAGATCCCAAAGGGAGAGTAGTTGGAGCTATCGGCACCCTGAAGAAATCCAAGCATCTTGAGAATTTCAGGATCGATCGGGCTTGCCTCGGCCCATGGATGCCAAGAGGTGGTTGGCCGATCCTCGCCCTCGCACCAGCATTGATATCCATGGCAGAACTCACTGACTGCAGTCGGAATGTTATCGGTCACGATCTCGTCATAGTGACGAGCCCGAAAGCAGATGCCACACATCTCGAGGTACTTCGCTTGAACTCGGATCTGCTTACCAGAGCCTCCGAGCTTCCGGGTGACGCCATCCCAATTGTCGACAACGTTCCTGGGTACACATATCAGGAATTGGAACCAGTACCCTCCGCCGACATAGCTGGCGGGGCTGTAGCGCGAGGCCTCACCAGCCTCGTGAGTGACCCATACGCATGGGACATATCCATTGGGTAGAGGCGCCCAACTAATCCACCGTGGGCCAGAACAGCCCATAGGCATTGGAGCGGAGTCCCATGTACGTACGTAGCCTGGGGGTTGAGCACCATTTCCTCAATCGTAGGCCTCACCATGGGAACATAGTACCATCCATCGGTGGGACTGATAATCGAGTTCCCGGCACCGTCCCGATAGTCCACAACAGTCGATTTGCCCCAATCGAGAAGCTCACACACATTAACAGCGTGCTTTGATAAGGAGGCTCCCATCTTCATCATGTATGCGAGCCAGCCTTGTACCCTTTGCTCGTCGCTATCGGGCCCGACTACGGTGGTGGCTTGTCCAGCAACCTCGTGTAATCCATTGATCTCAGCCTCAGGTAGATCGGGGTTAGAGTGCTTTCGCTTCTGATGCAATACACTGGATTGCTTCTTCAGCGTCGAGGGAGTGGGATGACGCCTCAACGCCTTCTCCGCGAGAAACTGCCCATGCAAGAACGGCAGAGTTAACAGTTAATGCCATGTACATCGCACTTGACGGGCCCTTTGTCCCTTGCGTGGTTACACAAGAACTTCTGAAAATACCCGTGGGCCAAGATTGGCAGGCATAAAAATATCACAAGTCCATGCGTGAGTTTTGGTGTTCTTATCAGGACAAGTACATGCCTTCGCAGGAAACAAATGGTCAGATTCGGCCCATGATCGCACAAACTCGCGGTTCCACAACGGGTTTCCTTTGGGCATGATAAGTAAAGTCGGAAGACCGTGTGAAATGGCGATCGATGCAATCGAAAGGCATTCTCGAGCATCTTGATTGTTCTGTTTCATCTCGCCCCGTGTGCGTTTCCAACCCTTCTGCTTGTGACACGCGATCGTCTTGATTGACATTTGGATCGTAGGAACACACACCACACATATCGATTTGGAGGGTTTAAGCCTAGCGCTCGCAATACCAATCCGTTGTTCTTTTGCAGCTGGACGCAGATTGACATTGCGATAGCTAGTACATCGTAATGACTCTCCAAGATTGACAATGGTGATGTTGGATTTGTGTTCGTCATTGATCGTTTCATTTAATTCCAAACCCCCCTGCAATGCAACTTGCTGCATGAAAGTGTTAAACGGGGACTCGCATGTTTCAAGACGTACCCCCCTGGTTGGAAGGGCAGAGGGCATAAGGGCTAGAGCGGGCGCGGCGGAAAGCATGCCCGCCGAAATCAAGGTACCGCGTCGGAAGTGGCCTATGGACGTAAGGTTACGGGACCATACCTTAGAATCGGTACATGATTTGGTGAGGATATCGCCAGCCTCAAACTGTGAGGGACATGTGACGAACAGGAAATCGCCTTGGTGATAACGTTCATTCAGCGCTGAGATATCGATGCGCTGTGTACGAGACATGTGCCGCATGTTGGGATTATGGCCGGAAATGATACTACGAATAGCGGCCTCATTATCCTCCAGGACTCGCAAAGAGAAGCGACGTCCCAACATATACTCCCACATAGACAAAGCGGGAAGACCAAGCTTATAGACGGCATGGTCTAGCGACACAATTTCAGCCTCCGGAGTCGACTTAGACACTGATGTATGTTTCTTGGACAGAGCATTGAGCGGCATAAAGCTGCGAGGTCCGAGCAGACACATAAAGACTCCAGATCAGGCACTCTTAGAATCAGTTCGATCTCCAGCGAGATCAGCATCACAGTATAACACCAACTCCAACAAGTCCGGATGATCGCCGATCCAACCGTACAGGTTGAGATCGAGAGTAGAATTGATGTAACATACCAATCGGTGGGGCTTCTTATCGCATAGCCCATCCCACTTAGTGATTAAGCTGGCCAGTGCCTGAACAGGACGAATAAGATCGTAGCGACCCATTCGGGCACCGTAGAGGATTTTCATAAGCACAGCAGCAGCGCAATCCCCTAGAACGCCCTGACCCGGGCCTCGGAGGCACATCCTGTGGATGACCCAATAGCTTGTTCATCGCAGGGTTATCCGGATTGACATCGAACTCCGGACGGGCGTATCAGCACTGCGAAGATTAGCCTTGTAGCGGTGTCCACAAAGCTCTACGTATCTGGCGACGCACTGTTCCATGAAGGAACGCATATCGTACTTAATCATGCGGATTTCGCGCGAACCAGTGGAGCCTTGTGGCACAGACACCGATTTGGGCCCAAACGTGAGCTCGGGGAAGGCCTTCTTCGGTTCCTCGCTCTTAGTCCAGTACATCCGCGGATCGAACGGACCAGGGACGGTGTGGGAAAAAGTGACATGCTCACAGCCAAGATATCGCTTAATGCCCGAAGGCGGCTCGAGCTTAATCTTCGATGCCATCAATTCCCACCCTCGTGCGAGGTTATCCTTGGGACCGCTCAGTTTGAAGTCATCTACATAAACAACGAGCATAAGGTTGAGCTTGGGATGCCGGAAGACGCTCTTCCAATCGGGGCATTGCTCAAACCCAACGGACTTGAGAGCCTGCTCGCAATGGCGCTCCCAGAATCACCCGCATCAGGATGACCATATAATGCAAGAACGAGGCGCACCACAGGATCGTGGTATTTGCCCTGCCATTCTGGCGGCCATCGCTCCTTGGGCAAGCGAACCCAGGTGGCTGGTCCACCCAGCTTCGCCTGAGTATAGGCGGACTCGCCGTCAGCGACTTGTATCTCGTGTCCCGGCAGCAAACCAAACGCGTCAGCAGCCTTGCCGGCTTCCATCGTTGCCGGGCATGACGTGATCTCGGAAAAGATCGCCCAATTGTTGCCTTCATCTTTGACATGACATCCTTCAAAGACAACTCGACCTTTGAATTTCCGATTGGGATCGGTCTCGGGGAGTTCGGAATTCTTTTCCACGCATATATCGAAAATGCGTCCAACATGGGCGGTCTCCCCCCTGGAAATGCACATCACGCCATTCCCTGACCGACTTATAATCCCAACAACCTTGATTGATCAGCTTATTCCACTCTTTATCCAGAGCAGCCTTGGCCTTAGGATTGGCGGCACGCTCCTTGCGATCGACAGGACGTGCAACACACGCGCTGTAGAAGAATACGCTGGATTCGGGGGCTCGATGATCATAACCCGCGTCCCGCTGTGGCATGGCAGGGGCCGCCGTGTGATTAGTCGAGACACGGATCGCCTCGGTTCGATCGGAAACAGAAGGCGCTGCATCCAGCGGTTCTTCGTCACTCTCAAACTCAATGTGCGCGATCGTCGAGGTATAGAATTGCGCAACCGCGACCGTCTCTCCAGACTGAATCGTGACATCATGATTGGTAGGATTAAACACCTCGACATCGGCATGTGTTGTTCCTTCGCCATAGGTGTACATGGCTGGACATACGTCGCAGACTGAGCCCTGCGCGGGTTGTACCCGGGCAGTCATCCCTTCTGTCGAAGTAAAGCGACTACCAGTAGGAATCTTGGCGCGACCACGCGCGGGCACGTTTATCCGAGCGTTGGCCTGCAGTGCATGCCCATTGAACCCTGATTTTGTTCGCGCCGTAGCGAGTCCATCTGGTGCCTTCATCTTGTCGAACGACACTTTGACCTTTGACTTAGCTGGATTCCCTATGACGACAACAGTTTTGCCAGTCCATCGGCACGGAAGGGTTCTACTATCCTTGGATCGCCAGCTGTCCTGCAGGGTGAACTCAGTACCACCGGTCATGGCACACGTAATCCGTGCATCGGACAGCAAAGATGGGTCGATGGGGCACCCTTTGACAGACTGCGGATCAAAGCGAGCTCTACGCTCGACAACGTGAAATCGCGTAACTGTACCGGCAACTGAATCATGATGCCAGTAATCGTGCTCGGTGCGACAAGCCGGGGACTCATACCCTGAGTCATAATCAACATCAGCCGGCACAGCGTCGCGATCATCGTTTCTTCCCATAGCACGCAGTTCGGCGTCACGCGACATAGCCTTCGCGCTCGGCGCGATTCATGCCTCTCCAGGAGTCTGAGTCTATTGAGCTCTAGGGACGGATTGCTCATATCCGAGACCATCCTTACCCCCGAGAGAGATCGACCCGGAGTATGACGGAGCCTTGGCCTTTCTCGGAGCGTATCCATCATCAAAGAACTCAACTGTTCCGGTCCATGACTGCATCAGTCGGGTCTTGCCGAATGCGTAACTCTCCTCCCTGATCGTAACGGGAGTCTTGCCAGCGTACTGAACTTTGGAAATGCGAACCGTTGAGAGTTTCCATGGATTGGGCGCAGCGCCGATAGACCCAGGAGGGTGAACCATGGCCTTCCTTGGAACGACAACATGGTAGATCCATTTGTGTTCATCGGCCTTATATTCCCAATAATCGACTCCTCCTCCATGTGATGATGCGGCTCGCTCATGAGCAATCCTGGCCTGCTCGATATCAGCTTCGCATGTTTCACGGCCAGCATCAAGCTCAAAGAGCGCTTTCTCATCATCAACACCGGGCTCGTAGAAGAGGCCATCATCACAGCTATAGTTGATCTTCTGCATCGCAGGATCATTCAAACGAGGCAGACTCCGGAAAGAACGATCCAATCGGGTGAGGTGGAAGCGTGTCAGGCCTAGACGTCTCCCTATCGCCATCACTGATGTCGTAGAATTGCACACCGTCAGCACGCGACGGGGTAGCGGCGAAGATCATCGCGCACGGGCTCTCCAGCATAAGGAACTCGCATGAGTCCCTCAAGATACTGAATCCTAGCAGATAAGCTTTCAACATACGCTTCGTTTCTCTTCTGATTCTGGTGATCGTGAAGAGAACGACTCATTTCAACTCTTATTGCTTCAATCCGATTAGTAGCATTCTTTTCGACGGTGCCTATTCGCGCCTCGCAATTAGACACACCTAGTTGCAGCTGTTGGAGACTCTCGGGAAATCGATGAATCTCACTTATCGTTCGCTGCAGCTTATGAAATATAGAGTCAGCTCTACTCTCGTTGAGGTTGAAGATTCGCTCGTCGAACTCACGAATCTTGTCATTCAGGATGCTCTTCAGTTGTTCGAATCGATCGTGAAGAGTTTCCTGATCTGCAGCACTTCTATCCTGAAAACGATCATAGGTTCGATAGTACTCTTGGGTTAGTCGCTCAATCTCCGCGTGAAATCGGGTGCAGAGTTGATCGACCTTGTTATCGAACTCAGCCGCAACATCAGACACTCCGTTCCTCAAGATATCGAGATCGGAACGTGTCTCATCGATGCTTTGCGCAATCGCTCCAATATCGTTAGCGATTTTCTGCGCAGCATCAATCGAAATATCGTACCCTGGAATCGGACCGCTGTGAGCGGTAGGAGGCACCGAGATTGGAATCACCTGATCTCGGTTACCCTGCCCGGGCTCAAAAAGAGTCCGGGCGCCCTCTACATTTCCCCGAAGGGAAAGAGGGCAGGATTGGTAGATGTCGGTCGTGCTGGGTGTGAATCGCGAAGCGGCAGCAGAGGCAGCAGTCGCAGAAAAGCACGGCAATGCAGGCAAAACACGCTCAGCAGAATAGGCGGCAGCGTGGGCGTTGCCTGACATCGTTGCATCGCAAGGCAAAGGCGGCACTTGCGGCAAGGCACTCTGATCGACCTCGGCAGGCGTGGCATGCGGCGGCAAGGCGGCAGGCATGGCATGCGTGGCGAGGCGGGCTGCAGGAGCACTATTATCAGACTCAAGCCATCTTGGCTCAAGATTATGCTCTTGATTATGGTTTCACTTCTGCCTGTGTCTCACGGTCGTTCAAAAACATTTTGTGATACCACATCCAGCAGCCCCATGACCCATCTAAAAAGTGTGACTGTTGTCCTTAGCGCCATGGCTGCTTTTACGACACCCTCCGTGTAGGGCATTGTCAGCTGCTGTCGGATGCCTCGCGAAATCAGCCGCACACCAATGGTGCGTCGGCCCACCCGCACTAGCACACCGCAACGCAGAACACTGGAAGCCGGCACGACCGGTTTGCCCTCGCCAGTGATACTTGATAGTAGGTTTGGTGACAGCCAACCAACCACACCGGCATCATTGCTTGGGCGGCATGATCGGAATGCTGCTTTGACATCCTCTGGCGACAGACCCTGCTGTCCCATCTGTTGCTGTGATGTGGTCCCGGGCGAAGACATCACCTGGACATGGCCTTGCGCGTGCCATTTGACTTTGCATTTGAGTTGTGCCTTTGCACTTGAGACAGCATACCCATCACCCCGCATGCCCACATTGCAGATCGCCTTGGCCAGGGCTCGATGCTGATCGGCAGCTTCGAGAGGCTTGTGAAGCACATGGTGTTGACCACACGCGGATGTGGCAACCACTGCCGTTGCAAGCTGAGCCAGAAGACCCGGTCTTGCCAGCCGAGCCTCATGACTTGGTGCTGTTGTGTTGTGAACGCCTCATCACTGTCAACCTTGCGGCTAGTAGTCGGCGCATGGAATGGGCTCCCGTCCAACAGTTTCAGGCAGACGATCGTGGGCATCGTGTGCATAGTGGTTGGATTGGTAATTGGGTCTGCAATACTTGTGGCCGTACATTCGACCAACACGACAACAGAATCACAATGTTGCGTGCCAACCATTCATGTGCGTTGCAAGGTGGTTGTCGGTTGTGTTTGGACTTCCAAAATGATTCCTACACATGGATGTGCGGGGCGAGCGGTTGCTTGCCGGATGAGGACCCAGTAACAGATCAGCTCCGTGAGGTGCAATCTTCGCAGTCAAACTGTAATGTTGGGAATGGTGGCAGCGGTTACTTTGCATGTTTGCCGCCGGTGACCAATGATGAAACCACCAACTCATTCTTGTACTGCCCCATCTTGCTACGTGCAGGGGGCCTTTTGCAAGAAGAGGTCGCGCAAGCATGGGCTAATGCAATTCCTTGGTTTGGTGGTGCATCTGATTTGTTGCGTGGGCGCACTTGTGACTTGTCCTTCCTTGCACAAGCTTACGACGAGTTGTTGCAAATGGCATGTCAGCATGATGCTTCCATGATGCAGTTCTTCAACCAACCTGGGGATGCGTCTGCAGCGCATCACTTGTCGAGTTTGGCGGCGGAGTTATCCGAGACACAGGTGTCCCTTGCAATCGTACTTCCAGGGGTCGTCACGATTAACGGCCACATCCCCAATCAGCTTCAAGACCTGTTGTTGCAAATGTTACAGCTTGCATCCGAATTAGATTCGGCTGTCACGGCTTTTCGCAATGCAGGTTGTTGGTCGAGGTCATTGCCCAGCCTTGAACGTGTTGACTCTGGCTTGATCGCTGCAAGATCACCTGATGGGCAAAGGGGTTCTTTACGTAGCCACGTCGGCTTCAGGGCTCCCTTGCGTGACAGCACCGCTGACATAGGTGAGTTGAGTTTGTTTGAAGGCCCAGCTCGCAGCTCTTCTGAGCCGCCTCGCGCCAACCGAGTGCAACAGAATGAATCCTGTGCTGAGGACTGTCAACCTTTGTTGCATCCCCATGTGCATGAACATGCTTGTATTCGTCAAACCACTGCACGCTTTGGTGCACTGAGACGTTGTACTGTTTGCAACACGAGGCTTGCCCGTGGGGTATCATTTTACCGTTGTGCACGAGGTTGTCGATTTGCAGCTTGTGTAGGTTGTTTCCCGTCGAATGGTGCTGCTGACCAGACAGGCCAACATGCACGCGTGGATGACCCTGTTTGTGCAGTCGAGCCGCGTTGCGCCACTGACGCACTTGTGTCTCCGCCACAACTTACGCGCTTCACCCGTTTCCTCAGCATTTCACGTGATGAGTTTGCCCAGCGTGCCCGTGCCATGATTGATTCCCGGCAACTTGCACACATTGGGCAACCAGATATTCGTATGGAAGGAACCACATCTTGGGGTGTCTGGTTGCGCATATTTCACGCGTCGGATTCTTCGGGCACGTCGTCGTGTGCGCTGTGGTGCCTTGTATCATGTTGCCCAAATGTCGGTTTTCTTCCATGGTGACGAAGAAGCTGCACGAGAGTTATTGTTGCCCCTGTTTGAGTCGTGGACCTACTCCTCCGTTGATGCGATGCCGCAGCGGATTCCTGATGCCCCTTGCCCGGTGACAGTTCCTGACGACAGCG